ACACAAACCACTCTTCCAGGGCAGAGATCAAAATTTAGAAGGGTGAAAGTTGATCTGTAATTTCACATGGAATATATTCAACAAAACCTACATGTTTTGCCCCTCACCATTCATTTTTTTTCCTTCATCCAGTTGAAAACTACATGTTCTCATCTTGGGAGACCTATGAAATCCCATCAGCTGTTAACGTTATCATGGAGTAATAATGACTCCATCACACATGTCTTTCAAGGTCACCACTGAGTGTGATTGTTGTGTAATGTTTGTCCTTCTTCATCTGGTGCCAGCAAAGCATGGAGATCTATCCATAAATCAGGCCCATGCTTTGCTTCCACAATTAAGTAGTCATTTTGAACTCTCCATGCAGTCATAAGTGTGGACGAGGAAAAGATGACAAAACAAGAGAAGCAAATACAATATGAATCTGCTCCTAAAGATTAATGAATATGCTCAAGACTGGATGTGCGGATACTATTTCAATTTTATTGTTTATGTCCAACTTTAAATTCTGTTGGTCAAATAATACTTTATATATAATGTGAAGTTCAGATTGTATAGTCATTTTATATCCCATGGTCAAATGGTTAGTGTCTATCAGAACCAGCTAGCAAGCCAGGAGTTATTTTTCAAATGGAAACTATTTGTCAGTAAAGAAGGACATGGCCTCATTCCAGAACCCTGTGCTGTGATTTTCGTACTGAATTTGCCAGAGGCTCAAAGGGCCTCTCTCTGCCACAAATACTTCCTTTATTTATAGTGTCCCATATTATTAGGTCCAGATAGCAGAGTAACCTGCATTGCAACTTAGACCTGCCACAGAGCCCTTTCTTCCTAGAGGTCCCACTCAAAAATTGTAACCTTATGATTTGCCAATAAATGAGTGAGAGGACCATCCCCAAATATATGCATTGGCTGCAGAATCCTAACTGGTTTTAGATGCATACCATTTTCTAAGTGGTGAGTGTCGTGTAAGGTGTGGTAGCTTTTCAGAAAAGAGATCACATTATGCCTACCAGACAACACATATTTTAGACCCTGAAACATAACAGATTTTAACCGCTAGAATGCATACATCTTATTAAGATATCTTGAGTGCTTTATACTTCCTACTTACCAGACCCAGCTAACAGTGTCACCATTATGTAGTATAGTAGATAAGTGAGATGTTCAGTAAAATAACAAGATGATGAAGGCCCATCTAGATTATAACATAGAGTAAGAGAGTGGCACAGCCCTTGGGCAAAATACTGAAGGTATATTGTAATCTCTGCCATGTAAATGCAAACTGCTTCTGATCTCCCTCACTTATTAAAATAGAATCCCAGCACAGCTGCAAATATAATCACTACATGAATAAGTTTGCTTATAGGCTACTATTATTCTCCATAATACATCTGCCTTTTGTATCAGTCAAATAGGCTAATGTTAAGTAATATATGGCAAGCGTAACCATTTTATTTCTCAAAATTTGTATACTGATACTAATCTCTACAATATCTCCAGGAATTGAATATCACTTTTGATCTTATGGGAAGAGGGAGGGAAGGGTTGGAGGCAGTTTCAGGGATTTCTATTCAATCTTTTCTACCATCATATCTCCCCACTTCATAGGTCAAAATGTCAATATGGGTATTTTGCCTCTTCCTGAAAATTAATTCCCCTAAACTTTCTGAATGAGGAAATAATCGTAGTATTTATCCCCAGACCTTCTGCTTCTGAAAACAAAAAGCTATTTGGGGTCTTGACAGATTAGCTTCAGTTCATGGACGATACCTAATAACTTCCAGAAAATCTGGGCATTTACCTTTGGCTCAATGCACAGTCACTATAATAAATGGCTTCAGATCTCCCAGGGGAGTCTTGGGAAAAGATTTACAGGATTGATAGTTCCATATTATAATGTCTTTCTACAAAGAGACCTGGACTTCTCCTTCGTTAAGAGACTTGAGGAATTTGAACCAATTTAGATTTGAACAAATTTAGAAATTGTAAAGAAGGCATGAAATCCACTTCAAAAATGTGAATTAGGTTTCTTTACTGTGGGCCAAAACTTTTTCCTCTTCTATATGTCAGACAGTCCATTAGTAGGCTGCCATATATTTTATTACTAGGGACTCCCTCATCAATTAAACATTGTCACAGATTCCTCAAATCCAAATTCCATGATTACCATTCAAGTCCTATGGCTTATTATAGCAATAGCATCCACCACTTCTTCTACAATTAATTGCTAGTAATGTCCTCTATAATTCTGCGATTCCTACTAGTCACATTAAGATCAGTGTACCCAATTACATTGCATCATCCCCTTCATTACCTCTGATCCAAGAGGAGCCATCATAGATCTTTCCATACTGTTATCCCTCACACCAATGCATTTCTTTTTTTATTATCATTTTTTTAATGTTTATTTTTGAAAGATAGAGAGACAGAGCATGGGCAGGGGAGGGGCAGAGAGAGAGAGGGAGACACAGAATCTGAAGCAGGCTCCAGGCTCTGAGCTGTCAGCATAGAGCCCAATGCGGGGCTCGAACTCACAAACTATAAGATCATGACCTGAGATGAAGTCAGATGCTCAATCGACTGAGCCACCCAGGCACCCCTGATGCATTTCTTAATGCTTTGGTGAATGATGGGTCCTCTGGGTCCTCCCAAAGGGTAAGACAAGGTAGTGGCTAAGCAGTTTTATTTATAATAAAATATATTACTTTATTATCCACCATATAGTTTTTATCCACTATATTAAATCCACCATATGGTTTTTTCCCTTGCTACAGAACCTTTGGAATTCCACACAATTGCATCTGCTGATACAGATTAGTCAATTCTTCTGCCCTTTTCTATATGTACTTTCTTCCTGGAGGCAGGTCTTGAGCTTCTCAAACTGTGCTATGTTGTAAAAAAAAAAAAAAAAAAAAAAAAAAAAAAAAAAAACCTCTCATTTTAGGTCTAGAAGGAATGACAAGGCCTGAGGTTGGGTTGTGAGAAAAATTAACATTAGGTTATGAGGCAACCACCTTAGGTTCAATAACTACAGAGTTTTTATGCAGAGGAGCATTACTTAGAGGAAAGGTATGAGGCAGACACTACCTCCCTAGGCAAGAAAATTTCAGGAGAATTTTGAGGGTCAAAATCCTCAGCCCAGTATGTGTTCAAATGTCCCAATCCCCTGCTTCAGGGTACAGGTCCCTTTCTACCAGTTGCCATAGAAGAGAAACCTGGCAGGCTTCAGTATTTAACTCTGCAATCCCTCAACCCTTACAACCGGATCCTGGGCTTGTGCCTTAGCCAAATATATCCTGCAACAGTAGGAGATAAGGAATTCCTTCAAATCTTTCATAGAGGCCATCTGGTTCTCCACGTGTGTTATATAAGTTTATATCTCTTATTTCCCCCCCTAATAAGTAAGCTATCGAGGGAGAGAAGAAACCAGCTCACTCGCAATCTTTATAGTCCCTATTGTTGCCACAGTGATCTCCCACTGCCGTGTCCCCCATCTGCATATCATTTATATCACCATCAGTGATAATCTGGGTAAAAGAAATATCTTTTCATTACATGGAGTGCCTATGTCCCACCTTCTCCTGGCAAGATGATTCTCCATATGCTCTATTAATTTAAGAGAAATTCATTGTCAGAATCCCATTTTGCAGGCCTATTACCCTACAGTACCAATACATGCTAAATATAATGGTAATTATTGTGTCACTCAGGGTCATTGCAGGATGGCATATTCAAATTAGGACAATTCAAGCCTAATTACAAAAGGACAGTTTGCTAAGATGAGACATAGAGGGAATCACAACTAACAGTGCATTATTCCAAGTTTTGTTACCATCCATAGTCCAATGATGTCAATGAAGGGAGTAATCAGAATCTAAATGTTGATAGACAAGTGTAAAAGGTCACCTGCAGAGGATCTGGCGAAAGAGCATTACAGGAAAAAGAAACAAAAAGTGCAGAGAACCAAGACTACAGCATGCCTGGCATTATGGAGGAAGAGCAAGCAGGCTAGTATCTTGAACAGAATACAAGAGAGACTGTTAGGAAGTGAGGACAGAGAGGTGAGGGAGGCTGTAGGCACTCCAAAATTTGTAGGTCACTTTAAGGGCTTTGTTTTACTGTCCATATTTTCAGAAAGTCCCAGAAGGTTTGAGCAGAGGGGTGCCACACCCTGATTTACATTTTAGAAGAACCATGGTGGAAACTCTATGCTGTAAACAAACAGGGGGACCAGTTAGAATATTATTATAATAATTAAGATAAAAGGTGACGGTGGCTGGGACCAGTGGCACAAAGTGGCCACACAGAGGGGTCCGATTTCAGGTACATTTTGAAAAGTAAATCTGATAGGAATTGCTGAGAGAGGTGAATATGGGCTGTGAGATAGGAAGGAAGAAAGAATAGCTCCAAGTTTTGGACTGAGTACCTCAAGAATGAAGTTGCCATTCAGAGTTGGAGAAGCCTTTGGAAGTATCAGGTTTAGTGGGGGTTAACAAGAATTCTATTTTGGACATGTTAGGCTCAAGAAGATTTTAGACACCAAGTGGAGGTGTGAATCAGGCAACTGGGTATATAACCTGGAGTTCAGAGGAAAGGTCTAAGCCAGAGATATAAAAATGGGAGTGTCAACACATCGATGGTATTTGAAGCCACCCAGGGAGTGAAAATCAACAGGGAGTGAAAATCAACAGGGAAGAGCACCATAAATTTGAAATATGAATCAATCCCTGAGCAAATTTTATCCCAATATGATTATTCTGAGGATCTTTAAAATTGTGGAAGGTTGGAGACTACTCTGTTTCTCAACGGAATTATATAAAACCCTTATTTAAGGGTGTTAGGCATCATGACCAAGTTGATAAAGAAATACACGGATAGGAGAGAAATACAATCTCTTTGGACTTACGTTTCTTTATTCCTTCAGGTTTCACATATTTAAAAGATGCCAGAAATACCTCATTGAGTAAAGGTATCATCAAGTCACAGCCAGTGCTTACCTGTAGGTCTTTTGTAGGAAAATCTTTTGTCTGAGTTAAACCCAAAGTAGTTTCTCAATATTTTCTTCAGCAATCCCTTGGAGGCCACAGGAGGAGAGAATTCATCTGTATCCATCACAGACAGTGGCTATGCTCATAATATGTCCCCTCCTAAAATCCCCAAGACCCAAAAGCAGACAGTGCATAAGAATTTATGTACAACACCCCGAACCAATGCCTTCAATGGTATTGTCCCGAGGGGATCTGAACTGTGAGCCTGTTAATCTAACATTCTGATATGTATATGGAAAAGTCGCTCCTGCACAGATTGTTCCAATACATGTTTTGATAGCTGGTAATCACAATGTTCCATGCCATTCCTGTCCTGGTGCTTGCCCTAGTTTGCATTTAGGAGATAACAAGGCATGGATATTAAACGACTTGTCAAGAGTCAGACAGCAAGCCAGAAATTGGCTCTCCTGATTCTACTCCTGGATTTACCGCCTTGCCTTTTCACTGCAACAGGGGATAACTTTGAAACCACACACAAGCACCACCAAATATCAGTTTTACACACACTAATAAAACTGGGAGCAGTTTTGAAGCCAGTTTTATTTTGAACCCTTGTTCCCAGTGGCCCTTTAGCCTTACAATTTTGAGTATTACTTTCCCAATGTTGAAAGATAATGGAGAAAGAGCACAGAAATAAGCCCCAGCTGAAACTAAAAAATTTTAAAGTATATCAAGCAATATACAGCTACACAGAGTCATTTACTGGAGGGTTGTCAGGGCATACCATATGTTATTTTGTGGCCATTTAGAAATGATATAGAAATAATCATTTTTCTTCGGCCGGTCTAAGGGGTTGTAGCTCGTAAGAGTACAAAGAGCACTCCACGAGGCAGCTGAGGACTTCTGGGGCCCCTTGGGTATCTGCATCACCTGAGCCAAACTCTGCTTCCCCAGGAGTATAACAAGGCTCGAATGCCTGCACTGTCAGCCCTACGAGCACCTGTGAAGATCAGGCCAGATATTGCATGTTGAAATGTAAGCACAAAAGCAATAACAATACAAATAAAAGTATAGTAGATGACATCGGATGCTTTGTGCGAGTTACTGCTGTAAGGGCATGTCCTTCATTCCTCCCGGCAGCCTCATGTTGCATGCAAGTATTACTTTACTTGCATTGATCTATTTCATACCTAACATGCGAGGGTGCTGGGAATGAATGACTCTTGATGCTGCTCTTACTTGGCCGTCAAAACTGCATCGTGACCACATTTCTCAGTCATCTAGACACTGTTCAGTGATGAGCCAGTTCTAAACGGGCCAGGGAGTGCATCAGCAGCCTCTAACCTACAAGTTGGTTGTGACTGAGGCAGACTCAGAATTGCACACAGGAGTTAAAGCTTATTGGTCACAGTGTGGTGAAGCTAGAAGCAGCTGGTATAGTTAGTTAGAAAATCAGTTTCAAAGCTGTGTTTGTATAGCAATCACACCACATTTGTGCCCAATGAGGAATACATGTACAATATATGCAACGTACACTTAATGAAAATAATGTCCACACAGTGGAGAAGGTATATAGAATGCAAATTAAATGCAGCCAAATTTTCTTGAAAGCTTTTATTCACGCTCTACAAAAAAAAAAAAAAAAGAGAGAGAGAAAAACAGCAGTGGTCCACATCCAAGTCGCTATTTGGGAGGTAAAGGTCGATAGTGATTTTACAGAGATAGAATGCAACCTGACCCACCCTCTTAGCATGACTGTTGGGTTGGACTGTATTCAGGCAGGTGGTGTGCAGGGATAAGCCTCCCCATTTCCTTCTCTTCTCTTAGCTTCTCCTTTTCTAATCTTGTTTCTCTTCTTCCCTCTTTCCTCTCTTTTACTTTTATTTGCCTTTTCTTCTCTTTCTCTTCTCTCCTCTTCAACTAGTTCTCCTTTCTCTTCTCTCACACTGCTAGCCTCTCTTCACACTCCTCACTTCTCCTTCCTTATCTCCCTTCCTCCTCTTCTCTCCCGTGCTCCCCCTCCTCCCACCATTTCCTCACCTCCATCATGTTGTTTGGGCTTCTGTCTCAACTTACTAGACCAACCCCGTTTCCTACTGATCTGGGAGTCTTTCTTCCCACTCTATCTAGATTTTGCCAGAGTCTTCCCTGCTCCAACAGCCTGACTGGCTTCCTAACAGGAGAGCATTGTTTAACTGAGGCCACAATAAAATCCCGCTGCCCAGGGTCCCTCACATTGCCCCACTCCACACAGCAGATTGAACTCCTAGATCCCAACATTGGCACGAACCATCCCTGACCTCCCCATATCTCTGGGACTTAGAGCACTGGCCAACCCCAAGGCCCCTGAGAGCCCAACCTCTGTAGACAGGTCAACTTCTCCCCCCACTATATCTGACCTGATTCTGCCATTCCCAACCCCTGCCCTCTTGTGGTCTGTCACTGAGGTTCCCACATGTTCTAAATTTAGGCATTCTCAAGTTAAAACACTCACCTTGGAGAAGGTGATAATCCTATTGAGAAGACAGCACAGGTATGTAGAAACTGACAACACAAAGGAAAGATGAGAACAAGTTTGGGATTCTAGAAACCAAAAGGAGTACAAAGGAGAGGGGATTAATATAAGCTTAAAGATACTTCAGAAAGGAGATAGAGCCTGAAATAAAATTTGGATTTGTAAGGTTTGGTTAAACAGAGAAGTTGGTGGAGAGCATGCCAGAAAGATATAATATAAAAGGGGGTATAAAGATCAGAACATGTATGGCCTCTGGAGGGAACAGTTTATCTTATAATTTATGTGTCTCTGACATCAGGATCTGCTGGGTACCCAAAAATGGGCCCATGAAGAGGGGAAGTCATACAGAAATGAGTGGATACAGACCACAGAGACAAGCCAAAGGAAACTCTCTCCTAGCAACCCCAACCCCCCTCTTCAAAGGTCCTGGCATACCATAACATTCATGAGGAAATGGTGAAGCTGGATCTTCTCTAGTGTGGCCCCATTCTGCATTGTCTGATTTGAGGGGAGAGTCCACGGTAAAGACTCATAGCCAATGAGCAAGAGTCATGATTCCAGAAAACACTTTCCAGGCTGATAAAGACCCCAGCTAGTGACTAGGAATCCAAGGAGCATTCAGTCATCCAGGGGACATTTACTGAAAGTCTAACAATATCTTCGAGTATTAGTCATACAAAGATAAATGCTTTGGCCCTTATCTTGAGGCATTTCACAGGCTAGTAGGGTGGGAATGGGATGGGACTGAAACAGAATCTTATTAGAAGCATATAGGGGCACTTGGGTGGCTCAGTCGGTTAAGCATCCAACCTCGGCTCAGGTCGATCTCACAGTTCATGAGTTCGAGGCCCACGTTGGGCTCTGTGCTGACAGCTCGGAGCCTGAAGCCTGCTTCCGATTCCGTGGCTCCTCTCTCCCTTCTTCTTTCCTACTTGCTCTCTTTTTCTCTCTCTCTCTCTCTCAAACATAAATACACATTAAAACAATTTTTTTAAAAAGAAATCTATATGCCAACAGGAAATTACGGTAGGAGTGAAGGGGTAGCTGGACTGCTCTTGGATCCCTTGCTGCTTTGGATTCCTTACCAGAATTCCTAGCAGTGGCCTAGTGGAAAAATACGATGTTGTACCCAAATAATATATTCAGGTAACCGAAGATGAGAATGGTGAGCCTGTTGAAATACCATCAGAAGACGATGAGACATTGCTGCTTTCCATGGTTACAGCCTAGTTTCCAGGGGCATGTGGACCACGCTACAGCAATCCAGCATCTCAGCGGATGAGAGGTGTCCAGCTGGTAGAAGGAATTCTGCATGCCCCGATCCAGGCTGGGGGAATCTGGTGTATGTTGTCAACTATCCCAAAGATAACAGGAGAAAAATGGATGAGACAGATGCTTTATCAGCAGGGCAAGTGAAAAGAGCTGTCCAGAAAAGGTCTAACTTAATAATGTTGGGCCTCCCATGAAAAACAACTGAACAGGATCTAAAAGAATATTTTAGTGCCTTTGGAGAAGTTCTTATGGTTCAGGTCAAGAAAGACATTAAAACTAGCCATTCAAAGGGGTTTGGCTTTGTTCATTTTCCGGAATATAAAACCTAGGTGAAAATAATGCCACAGAGACACGTGATGGATGGATGAAGGTGTCACTCTAAACTTCCTCATTCTAAGGAAAGCCCACGGAAGGCTTTTTTTTTTTTTCAACGTTTATTTATTTTTGGGACGGAGAGAGACAGAGCATGAACGGGGGAGGGGCAGAGAGAGAGGGAGACACAGAATCGGAAACAGGCTCCAGGCTCTGAGCCATCAGCCCAGAGCCTGACGCGGGGCTCGAACTCACGGACCGCGAGATGTGACCTGGCTGAAGTCGGACGCTTAACCGACTGCGCCACCCAGGCGCCCCAATCCACGGAAGGCTTTGAGAAGCAGGAAGGTGTCTGATGGGCATCGTGAGGGGACGTGACTGCTGAGGAGCTGCGGCAGTTCTTCAGCCAGTACGGGGAGGTGGTCGGTGTCTTCAGTCCCAAACCGTTCAGGGCTTTTGCCTTTGCCACATTGGCAGATGATCAGGTGGCCCAGTCTCTTTGTGGAGGGGACTTGATCATTAAAGGACCCGGTGTCCACATAGCCGATGCTGAACTTAAGCACAACAGCAACGGACAGTTAAAAGTGGAAGAGCTGGTGGCAATCCAGGGGGCTTTGGGAATCAGGGTGGCTTTGGTAACAGGAGAGGGGGTGGAGCTGGTTTGGGAAACGATGAAGTTAGGAATATGGGTGCAAGGATGAACCCTGGCGCTTCTAGCATTAATCCAGCAGTGACGCTGCAGCCCCAGCAGCACCGTAGAGCTGCTAGGGTATGATGGGCACGTTCGTCCCCAGTTCAGGCCCATCGGGTGAGAACCGAATCCAGGGTAACATGCAGAGGGAGCCAAGTCAGGCCTTTGGTTCTGAAAATAACTCCTCTAAGCAATTCTCATTCAGGTGCAGCAATTGGCTGGGGCTCTGCATTACATGCAAAGCCAGGCAGCGGTTTCAGTGGACGCTTTGGCTCAAGTGTGGATTCTAAATCTTCTGGCTGAGGAATGTAGACAGTGGGGTTGGTATAGGCTGGCGGGAATTCAAATGTTTCCAAACATATGTT